ACTCTCTTTGTGAGTCTAGAGAACATGGTAGCTGCTTTGTCAATGCGTTTATCCAGCTCGACATCTAGGGAGAGAGTGTCAGAGATCATTTGAGCCAAGATACACAAAGTCATGAACAACCTCCAATTCATGCATGGAGATGGTAATAGAGGGAGGTGAGTCCACGCCCTGGCCCATGACTTGTGTTTTCTTCAGGCTGACTGTTAATCCAAAAACTTTGCAGGCCTTACTAAAATGATTCATAAGTTGTTGGAGCTCTTCAGCAGAATGGGCAACAACAGCTGCATCATCAGCAAAGAGGAAGTCCCGCATGCATTTCAGCTGGATGTAATGCATGCATGCATGCATGCAATGGAAATCCACCATGCTGAGGCCGCTGAACATCCTGTCTTCACTAGCCCATTCCTGGGATGGAGGGATTGTTTCCTTGAGTGCTGTTGTTCTAGTTGTTGGTTTTAATTCTTGTACTTCTGAGGACCTCAAATTTCCCGCACATGTATTTGTTTCCCAAAGGGCCTGTTTTGACTACAAATCTTGTTTGCCATGAGAAGGTATGTTTAAAGTAAATAGTAAAGTGTGCTGTTTATATACCGCCTCATAGCTCTTAAAGCACTCTCTGGGCAATTTGTAGTTTAATTATGCAGGCGACACATTATGTTTAAGAACATAAACCGTACCTTGCTAGCATCTATTCAGTATTCATGAATTGATTTGTGGTCACTTCTGGGAAATTCACAAGTAGGTATTTCAGTCATGACCTATGTAAGTGAAAGTGAGTCTCTACAATGGAGACATCTCAATATTCCCCATAATTTATTTATTTCTCAGGACTGTGTCCTTTCTCTTCTCTGTCACAGAGCTCATGGGCTTTAAACTACTGTAAAGTTCCTAGACTCTCATCCAGGCAGGAAATGTGTCATCTTAATCAAAGTGGCTGTCTGTAAAGCTTGGAAAAGTAGCTGGTTTGGACTATAACTCTCAGAACCACCTGATCATGGTTTGGGGATTCTGGGAATTGTAGTTCAAAAAAGTTAGTTTTCCTAAGCCCTGCTGTGGTTCCACAATGGCGTGAAGCATGGCAATAATGTGCCTGCTTGATTTTAGGGAAGTTAAGCTATTATTAATGTTCTCACTCAGGAACCACCAAGGAGTTCTGCATACTGGATGGAGGGGGGGATACTGGGAATTGTAGTCCAAATTCCCTGTATCTTCCAACCAAAGGGTACGATCTCTTGGTGGTTTTCTGAAGAGCTGTACTCTTCCAAGCTCCGAATACACTGTAGATAATCAGATCAATAAGAGCACTAAAACCCAGTCTTTTTGTTGTTGTTTAATATTATATTGATTTATTGTGAATGCTAAGATGCTGAGTGATTGAAACACAAAAGTTGTGATTGTGAAGAGAGAAAGAGAAATGGCAAAGTACCATTGGAGAACTGGAAGACTCTTCATCGACAATTATGTACAACAAAGCAGTATGAACAAGACAAACACTGCTCGGAAGTAGGGGAAGAAGCTGCCGAAGAGTGTAGTCATTGTTAGGAATAAAATGCTAGGATACAGGTATCTTCACACCAAAGGAAAACCTTGTTTAAACACAAAAGATATTTCACCAGTTATTATCATATACAACAGAATGCTCATGAAACCATAGTCTCTCAAGGATATTATTCTATGCCTTCGGTGCTGATTTACACTCTTTTCAGCTCGGAGAGGTTTCTTTTCTATCCATTGCTTGCACCAGGTAGTCCAGCATCTGAGAAAGAGAAAGAGAGAGAAAAAAAGAGAAAATATTTAGAAAACAATTTTGCAAAAAATTTATATTAGATTTAGATTAGGCACCTTTCACTCTCGAGAGACTATGGTAACGTGCTCTGAATAGAGGGCTTGGAACAGCGTCTAGTGTGGCTGAGAAGGCCAATTTGGGAGTGACAATGGCTTGATGGCTTTTGATAAGTGTATCTTATAGACCTGTCCAAGATATCTGGCTGCCTGGGGCACTCCGGCTTCCATACCGCAAGCCAAGGCCTTGGGACAAGATGGCAGCAAATCCAACAAGCACCTCACCCCCTTCCAGACATTACGATACAGCCAGAACAGAGTAAATCATTAGCTGTTTGCAGCCCTTCCAAAACATCCACAATCTGGCACCTGCATTGCCCAATAGTAGGGTCGGCCTGAATGTGTACTAACTTATTCCAAAGCCGAAACAGAAGCATCTCACTTTGCAATCTTAATTGCTTCACCTCAGTCCCACTTTATATGCTAATTACCAAGTAAATCAATAAAAAGAATCAGTCATTTATGTTGTTTGTTTGCTTGCTTGCTTATAGTCCAAAGGGGTTATAAACATAAAAATGATACAATAACTACAGATTTTAAAAGTCCAGAAGGAAAAAAAACTATACGATTCAACATTTATCAGTATTAAAACCACAATCTGAAGCCATTTTTACAAAGCATTTTTAAAAAACAGATGACAGTATTACACCAGCATTCTGATATTAAGGCCAGTACTTGTGGGAAAAGTGTTTCGTGGGGGGGATGCATTTTGAAAAAGAGAATAATCTTATTAAATCGTTCGAACTATGAATGAGAGAAATGATGAATCAGGTTGGTTTGTAGTTTGGTTCATGACCTGATTTGCGGATCCTGTTTGCCCACAGCAAAAGGAAGCCCCAAACTTTTTTCTCCTTGGTGCATCATTTTGCTTCAGCAAAACAGATGCCCATGTCCCCTTCCCACGGCCCCAGTGCCTCCCTACCTGGTCTTGCTGCCCCCACCCCTGCCACCATGATCAGAGACAGCAGGACGGCTTCCCTTCAGTAGACAGGCCTGCTTCCTGTGCACCTGCGCCCGCCACCCAGTTGATCCGGGTGATCAGCTGGAGGTCGGGTGCCTGCAAAGACGCAGTGCCCAAGATCCTGGAAGGAAAGCTACGGTGGTGTGGTGGCAGCGCACTGGCAGCATAGTGGTGCAGTGTTGCTGCAGGGGCCACACATCAGTGGCTGCCATGTGACAGGAGCAGGTAGCCTCCCCAACAAGTACAAACTGAAAACCAAAACAAGAGCCATCACAAACCGCCATGTTTCAGGTTGGTGCCCATCTCTAGTTTGGAGTGATCACTGGACAGATGTTGTCAATTCCTAATCCTTATAACAACAACTAGATGAAGTTGACATGTATTAACAGTACAAACACAAGACTGAAGGGCAGCCACCAGCAGGTCTAGGACCACCTCGGTCAGGGGTGGGCAAAGGGTGACCCTCCAAATGTTATTAGACTCATTGGCTTTAGCTGGCATAGCCAATGCTGAGGAAGACTCAGAGCAGCAGTTCAGCAACATCTGGAGGGTCCCTCTTTGCTCACTCCTGGCCTAGGAAGTACATACAGCAGAGGCAAAAGGCAAGCTAGCCCTCTTCTTGTTACGTGTCTCTTAACTGATACATTTCACCTTTGCTGCATAGTGCGTAAGGCCACAGGCTTTAAAATGTTCTGCTCTCCGGGCAGCCTTTCTATACTGATCTGTTTATCAAGGATGAATGTGTACTTGCCATAGAATTCCTCAGTTATATCCAAGGTTGCCCTTTCATGCTTGGAAGTCTTTTTGATTCAATAGAGACTTCCACTCAAAAAAGTGGAATGAGGTGATTGCTGCATTTCCCCCCCCCTTCCATGAGCAACCCCGTGACCCTCCATGTCCACTCCAGAGGAACATCCTTCAGAACAGCATGGGAGGTGACTGGGGATGGGGGATCCAGAAGGAAGAATCTGTAAATATCAGCAGGAATTCTATAGAGATTTTACTGCAGATGATGAATTGCGACTAATTAGTAAAGTGCTGGCTCCATGCTTGTACGTGTAACAGGTACACAACCAGGCATACAGCTGGCACTTCATTAATTAGCTTCAATTTGCCACTGTGACTTATATATGTTCACTTACCCAACAGTAAAATCCGAACAGGATTTTGGCCAATATGTCCCTCTTGATTCTACAGACATACTTCGGTTTACGAACGCCTTGGTTAACGTAATTTTTGGTTTACGAAGCAAAATCCATGGAAAATAATTCCTCAGTTTACATTCCCCCGCCCCATTTTTTTTCAAAGTACAGTACGTATGAAGAAAGTTCCCCCAGGATGCATTGTGCCTAGAGGTTTGTAGCGCTGCTCCCGTTCCTATGGCAATTGGCGTTTTCAGTTTACGTTCCCCCCCCCATTTTTTTTCAAAGTACGTATGAAGAAAGTTCCCCAGGATGCATTGTGCCTAGAGGTTTGTAGCGCTGCTCCCGTTCCTATGGCAATTGGCGTTTCAGTTTACGAATTTTCCGCATTACGTAATGTACCGAACACATTAAATTCGTAAACTGAGGTGTGCCCGTATTCAGTTTAGCAAAGGCCAACAGGAACAGAAAGACAGTATAACTTGAGGCTTTTAATGTAGCTCAGTGGATTGGAACACTTGTCTACACAGATATGGGCTGGACATCTAATTCTTGGTTTGAAACACAGGTAAAACAAGCATCTCCTATTAGTAATCTCAGCTACAGAATGGATCCAGAGAATCCACTGCTGTGTGGTTCGTTTTTATTCACTTACACACATGCAAATTCCACTGAGTCAATGAGTCTGCTCAAGCTGGGACTAGCAAGAGTATACTGACTTAGATACGTAAACTGGAATTTATGAAAAAAAAATTTCTGGAATACAACCCCCCAAATCTCCAGGTGACTGTGTTTGCTGGGAGTTGCTGGGAATTTTAACTGCAGACATTTAGTATTTCAAAGTTCAGGTTTATATTGGGGGTTTAAGTTGGCCTTTTCCTGACAGTATAGATTAAACTATTATTAAATCAGTTGTTCCAACAGAAGGCAGGACTAGAGCCAATGGGCGGAAATTGTTAGGAAATAAGTTTTGATTCCTCCTCTAAGAAATTATTTATTTAATTTGCCTTGATTCAAAAATCACACTGCACTATCCCCATCCACCCATGTGGATGGACAGTCCATCTCTTCCACAAAGGAGGAAAAGTGGAAAGTACATGAAGTTGTGATATGTATGTATAAGCGAGTGGCTTGTGACTGGAGCTGCTCATTTAGCATAATCCCACGTAGAAAGCAACGACCACAGACTGGCCTGGCAGAAAATTAAATCAAAATAATCAGAAGGTGGTGGCTGTTTACCTCCCAAGACAGCATGATAAATGACAGCTCATAGCAGGAGGCAGAGCTGCTACAAATTATTTATGTTTTCACAAAGCTAAACAAAACACAGCGTGGGTTGGGAGGTACAATCAAAGCTTTGTACACCGTCCAAAGGCGTTTGCCATCTCCAGTAACCAAACCCAGTCATCTTGGAGACACGACTTGGTTTGACGGATCATAAATCTCACCCCAGATAAGAAATTTCCATAGGTTTAACTATATGAATTTTCTTCTAAATCCCAAGTCTATCATGGAGGTGTCATCAAACATGTGAAAATTTAACCATGGTTTTGGGGCCATGGTTTTAGTATCACCATGGGAAATGTGAGGTTTGCCAGCCACTTTTTCCCCCAGAAGACACAAGCTTTGGCAACATTCGGGAAGATGGGGTCAATCCTAGGCCCTGCTATGAAGACCCTCTTGTTTCCTTGCAGATGTGCAGTTCACACTTTGGTAGAGAAGGATTTCTACCAGAACAGTAGACATGTTCTCAGATGGCCACGGAGACGGTGTCACGGAGACAGTGGTACATTGAATTATTACTCTAACCAGAGTAGACCTCCTGGATCAATGGGACTTGCATTAAGTGTTGAGTGACTTCACAAAATCCCATTAATCCAATGGATTTGCTCTAGCTAGGAATAACAATTATATGTTCATAATGTCCATATAAGATCAGATAATGTAGCATCATTCCATCCCTTTCATTAATTATCATTCTGATGAGGTTTTAAGACACCTGTGCTATCTAGCGGTCCTCTTTATACACTGGAGAAAATGAAAAGCCATTAAGCAACCATGTTTTGCATGTATAAGATTTCAACATTCATTCCCTTGTGTCTTCACACCAAATACAATTCGTAGTGGACAGAGAATAGAGAAAACCTCCTTTCTGTTTGGAATTTGGAAGTAGCAAGAAATCTCCTCCAGATTTGAAATGTAAGTAGTTTGAGTGTTAAATGATGTGGAGGAGAGGCTATCACCCATTTAAAAGGGGAATCAACACTTCTGGAAGTTTCCAGTAGCACCAATTCGCCTTTTTTGCTGGAAAAAAAGTGGGCAGTGGTCTAGGAGATATCAAGGAGCATCAGAAACAGCCTTAGAGGTATACTGCGGCCACCCCTGGATCAAGATGGAGCACAATTCAAAGTTTGTGGTCCCCCCGCCTAAATTACAGTTTCCAGAAACCCTCAGTCAGCCGTGGTCATGATGTCTATGATGGGGATCAATAGTCTCAAGCAGTAATTTCCCAAACTCTAATGTCTGAACTGGAATTTAAAAAGGGGGGCTTGTTCTTTTCTGCACACTGCATAAGGGCCTGAAGAAGAAGAAGAAGAAATTCTGCCAGGTTGTCAGCTTCCTTGAAAGATGGGGTTGGAGGGCAACCTAGTAATCAAACCAAATTAAAAATGAGTTTAAAATGTAAAACAGATAACATTATGAACTGCTGGATAGCTCAGGAGCTTAGGTATCTGGTTGTGCACTGTGAGTTCGATTCCCCATTGTGCCTCTCTGACAGAGGTTAGAACTCAACGATCCATAGGGGCCTTTCCAACTCCGCAGTTCTAAGATGACAATAACCCAGATTAAAATACAGTTGAAATATACAGTATATCCATAGGTACAGGCTGTAGGTATGACTGGTCAGTGCAAACCATTTTATTTAAACCCTTTAAGAAAATTGCAGTAATAATATTTGTCTGAGACTTCAGGAGAAACTGAGAGGCTTGCTATGTGGGTGTTTATTACACTCCGAAGCCCCTCGGTGCCATACCTGGGATCGCTCTGAAAAACATCAACTGCACAATGTTCTTGTTAGAGCATTCCAACTGCCCCTAATGGAGACCAAACCATCGCAGAGGGCTGTCCTGGAGCCTACTGTTTATTTAGAATGATTAGGATTAGTCCAAATAAATATGATTTTTTTTTGCAATCGTCTAGATTGCTTCAGTGTGGGATTGAGAGGAATACTCTTCCTACACATCAGAGGTGATGTGTAGAGGTGAGTGTAGTCTGGATGTGACTGTGATGGCACCTACTTTGAAACAACAAACAAAAAGCACTCATAACTTAATTTTTTCATTAAAATAAACTCTTCCACTATTGTGTTGCATCGCTAAATCACTATGTCACTTACCAATTTTTTTAAAAAAAAGGATAAAAAGAGAAATGCGGGGCTGAAATATGGCACTCTGTACCCCACCACCTTTTGTGTGTATAAAACACCAGCATTTAATGCACACTTGCAAAAAAATGGAAGCAGGATGTTTCTGAACCAGCTCATAGCTACTGCAAAAGAAAAGACAGGAGGCAGGCAGGGAGTGAGAAGAGGAGGGGCATACCATGAGCAAAACAGACCAAACCAAAGTGATCTAACACCAATATCCCTCTAGTGGCCAGTTCTAGTAATGCATTTGGGAAAAAAATCAGTTTTTCCCCTTTACCATGCTATCTATCTATCTGGATCTAACACCGACATCCCTCTAGTGGCTAGTTCTAGTAATGCATTTGGAAAAAAAATCAGTTTTCCCCCTTTACCATTCTATCTATCTATCTATCTATCTATCTATCTATCTATCTATCTATCTATCTATCTATCTATCTATCACTATTATCCACGGTTTCAGTATCCACAGGGGAGCTTGGAACCAATCCCCAGTGGATATGGGGGTCCTACTGCATTCACAATTATTAGCAACAGAGTTATCAGAGGTTACTTACATCCTTAAGACTGCTGTTGTCCTCCGCCTCCCAACTGCTTTTGGCTGAAAATGGCAGTTCTTCTCTGAGGACTTGAGCACTTCGGTTTTCATTCCCCTCCAGCAGTCGGAGAAACTCCTTGAAGGTGTCTTCCCACCGCAAATAGTCTCCTAGCTGCTTAATGTTGTCAGGAAGCGAGGAGAGGCGTGGCTCACTTCGTTCTTCATAGATATAAGGAAAATCTCCTGTGCTCTTTTTTCCCATGAAATGCCCTGGCAAAGAAATCAGAATGCCTTTAAATTGGAACAAATGAACATCAAGGAACACCTACATTGGATGAGACTGTATTCGGGTTAAACCATATGATAGGTTTAGCATGTTTTTAGAAATGCTCTCTAAGGGGCTGAAGAAATGTGTGCCATTTTCCTCACCTCCATATTTTGCATTTAGTTTACTTCGGAAAATAAACATGGGCTTAATCTGCAATCCTAACTGGCAAGACATGCATCCTGCAGTGCACGGGGAAAGAGGCTAATTTTTAGCTGCTCCGCTGGCACTCAGGATGATCACAGCTCCACTGCAAATGATGCCATTCATTCTTCTCTAAATGTAAGATTGGGGGGGGGGCGGTCTGGGCAAAGAGAAAGCACGCCAGTAAAACTCCACTTTTATTTCAAGGAAAATAAAACATGGTTCTAGTTCTCATGACTGCAAGGACATGCTTGAGAGCACACCAACCATCCTCAGTTAAATCTCTTAAGCCAAAGAGACGGTCATGGAATAAAGCAGTTGTTCTCAGCCTTGGGTCTTCAAACAACTCCTAAAAACCCTGGTCAGCGCAGCTCATGGTGAAGGCTTCTGGGAGTTTTAGTCCAAGAACATCTGGGGACCCAAGGTTGGGAACCACTGGCACAAAGCATCTGTATACTGCACTGTTCTTTAACTCTCTCTCTCTCACAGTCAGAAGCAGAACTTATTAAGAAGCAAATGCAACCTTTGTGGTATTCATTCCACAGAATTCACCTTCTCTTGGGAGTGGAACCTTGGATGAGTTCTGTTTTTCCATTACTGCAGAGGGTAGGTGGCCCCAACTGCAATCAAAGAAGCTCTAAAGGGAAAGTTAAGCTTTTAGATCTTTCTTCTTCCCCTTCCTCCCCATGTCCCTCTTGAAACCTATTGCCCCTCCACAAAATGAATCCATTTTGTTTTCAAAATAAAAGTTAGCCTCTAGAAATAATGAATATTGTTGTGCAAACCTTGAATCCATCCTTCATAAGCTCTTGTTCATCTCACTGTTGCCTGGGATGTGAATAAACCGCACCTAGAAACTGTCTAGGGTGTTGCTTCCAGGTGGAAATCATTCATTCCGTGAATAATCTGCAGCTTGTTTTGTTGCTTTGCAAATCTGCATGTAGGAAATCTGTTGTTTTCTTGTACTCATCCAAGCCTGGAATGCATTTCTCAAAACTGGGACCCACATAAGACCACACCCTTACACTTTGTGCTTAAGCGAAAAGCTGTCTTGGAGGTACTGATTTCCGTGCTAAGGCTGCTGAAAGTGGATTCGAATTCACACTTCCCTCTCAGTGGGAATCTAAATAAGGCATGGTTGTTTAAGGGTGTTGAATTCACACTTCCCTCTCAGTGGGAATCCACTCTAAATAAGGCATGGTTGTTTAAGGGTGTTAAATATCAGTCAGTCATCCAGCCATACACTGAAACCTTTTGAAATTGTAGGGTTTCAGGCTTGTCAAGGTGACAGGGTAGACAGCACAGATGATGCATCTGACTGTTATGTATTATAAGCCATCAAGTCAGAATTCACTTATAGAGCATCAAGTAAGTGAAATATTAAAGGAGTGGTTTTACCCCTTCACAAGTGAGTTTCTATAGCTGAGTGAGGATTAGAACCCAGGTCTCCTGGGTCCTAGTCCATCATTCCGTCCACTACACCACACAGGGTATCTGGATTAGGTGATCTTTAATATGCCTGATTAATCTTGTTTTTCACTTCATTATTTTGGATTCAGCTCGCCGGTACAGGAGTATCACAAGTCCTGACTTTTTTTTTTACCTGAATGGTCTGCTGGATTAAGAAACAAGAATAAGAATCCCCCAAAATAGATTCCGTGCGCCAGACTGCCTTACTAAATGGAACCCGCCAGAAAGAGTAAATTCACATAACATATTTTAATCCACACAAAGCGTCCCATCATTTGGGTAAGTATAGCTGGACCATCTGGAAGTCAATTGATAGACTTGGAATTAAAGTAGGAAGATCAAAGAATAATCAAGTAAAATGAGGCTACTTGGATACAGGGGTTTTTTTTGTGTGTGTGTGTGTGTGTGTGACTGTGAAGAAACTCAATCAATGCAGCTCTTATGAGCATGCAAGTTTTGCCCCATCACATACACAAAAGGTCTAGCAAACAGCCAAGATACTGTAATGCTATTATAGTAATACACTTCTAGCCAAAAAAAGTCTAGTCATCGTGACATTTTAATTAGTTTTTAATTTTACCTATACATGCACAAAAGGTCTAGCAAACAGTCAAGATAATGCTATTGTAGTAATACACTTCTAGCCAAAACAGTCTAGTCATTGTGACATTTTAATTAGTTTTAAATTTTACCTATATTTCATATATGTTCGTAATTTTAAATTGTGTAACATCTTGATAGGATAGAAATTCATCATTCATGATGGCAGGAAGGAAGCAGAGCTGACTCGAGACATTCTGCTGCCTGATGTGACCAAACGTCTCCTCCCCACAGCTGGACTGGCAACTGAGTTTTGTTGAAACTTGGCAAAGAGATGATGCCCTCTACCACATCCGAGGCTATGTTAGGGGTACCCAAAGGGATTCCCTGGCAGAGACACAACTCTGACTTCTGAGAAAAAAAAGACAGGAGACCAGAAGGAACCACTTGGGGTTTTGGGCGACTGTCCAGCTCCCCCTGGACAGAAGTATCTTTGTCCATAGTGTATGTAGTCATGCTCTTCACTTTTATGTCACTGTGATTCATACAAAGCAAGTTTTACCTGCAGAGTTTTAAAGCCCTATAAAAAGTGATCATTACATGCCCTTTTTCTAATTTAAAAACAAAGCAAAACAAAAGAAGTCTCGGAAGATTTTTAACAGCGGAGCAATGAAGATGTCCTTTTTACCCTTTTCTTTTCAATGTCTTTGCTGCTTAACATTTTCCACCACCACCCTTTAAAAAAATGTATTGCCAGGAAGGAAAAAAAGCTCAGGGGAAGGATAGCTCTGTATGGGGGGGTGGGGGCTGAAAAGGACTAAACTTCATCTGCAGTGGCTGAAAAGGACTAAACATCATCTGTCCATAAGGGCAATCTTTTGAGCTAAAATTGCTTGGATTAAAACAGTGATATATGGCATAGGTGTTTAAAGTTGAGGTTGACTCAAAGAATATATAGGCAATAGTAAAGTTTCTACCATTCACTTCAAACTCTCTTGAATAAACCATCTGTCTCCAATCAGTTAATATGATCAATGGCACAGAGAAGGGGCGTAGGGAGTAAGGGACAAACTAGCTGGAACTCTGAATACTCCACTTTTCAACCCACCTTTGTTTGCTTTGCAATACCTACTGACAGAAGGATCTATTTTTCTAAGTGCAGAACCAGACAATATATATAACCGGTAATTAAAAAAGAGAAACCCTTAACTGCTAAAAGCATCTGAGTGCATATCAAGAGCTTTTCTCACCTCACATAATTTTCAAGTTAACTTGCTTTGTTTTTGGGATTGGCACCAGAGTTCTGAACTGATTTCTCAAGCCTAAAAGACTGTCTGAACCATGTCTCTCCAACACTAAGACACACCTGGCACTAAGGAGAGGTTTTCTATAAAATCTGCTTCTCCTCTGAATGCCATGACATGGTAGTAAATTCCCGATACCCATTCTATGATGCGTGAAGCAGTTTCTTTTCCAAAGATGGCACGTTGGAGAAGTAACAACGAAGATTGGACAGCCTGGACCCTGGAAATGAAGGTTCTGAGAAGTGGATTGACTAGGTCGGGAGAAGACTTTAGGGATGCGTTCTAAGCTGGAGGTTTGGTTCACTGGAGCAAGAGGTCTCCAAAATTTGGGGCACCGGATTAGAACCGGCTTCCTGAGCCCCCCCCCCTCACTCAGAGATAGGAAAAGTTACTTTTTCGGTTTGAATTATTGCTGTGTTGCTGTAGGAATCTGGGCGTTGAATTCCCAAAAAGTAACTGCCTCTCCTAAGACGTTTTCCCTTCCCTCGCAACCCGTCCTGTCTCTCTCTTCCCCATCAAAAGTCGAGGTTATGTAAGCGCTCTGGGGGCAGAGATCCCGGAATTCATGCCCCCGGGCGATCTCCGCCCAAGCCCCGACGGTGCGGAGCCCAAAGGAGCCCCCCGGCCGGCTTTCGCCTGCTCACTCACCCACGGCCCAGTGGCTGCCCCGAGGGTAGATCTTGGCCATCGGCGGCGCTCCCTCGTTGCCCTGCAGGGGCGCGGCGCTGCCGCTCCGTCCATCCAGGAGCAGGGCGAAGGCGAAGAGACCC